AATTATAGCACGCTACCTTCGAACCCCAAAACCCCTTACTACTAAATATAGAAATTATAGTGTGAAAATAATATTAAAGATAATATAGCTCTAAATCTGAAAAAGTAGCACAAGGCATCCCAAATGAAAATAAAGATAAATCATTTCATATATTGTGCCCAGACGTGGAACTTCTCCATAACTTTTGGGAAGAAGGCATTGACACTTTCCTTGATGATGTTCACGAATTCCTTCTCAGCTTCAATGTTATTTTTGTTTGGCATGAACTTTTCATACATAGCGATGAGGACTCTTTCATGCTCTAAATAGTTCAGATCCTTGATGCCAGCATGTATCATCAAGTGAAATAGATTCAAGATCAGTCTTTGGTAGTTTCTGAGGTAAAGGAAGGACTCAACACACTTCTTCTTAAACAGCTCGTACTTTGGATGAGTGTTGCCTCCCATGCCTTCAATCATCTCTTTGCATATACGAATGGGTGGAGCCATAATGTTCTTACCTGGGGGGTTCTTGCCAAAGATAAACCCAAAGTCAACGTGGAATAAGTGGCCTAATTTGTCTATCAGGAGATTCTCTAGATGTCTATCTCCTACTGCTAGTAAATAGGTAACAGTGCAGTAACCAGCGCAAGATCTTATATATGTGTCTAAAAGTTCATCGTATTTCTTTTCGTCTTTTTGAGCGAGTTCCTTCATAAAGTCCTCAATACTGTTCTTGTTTTCCTTCAATATATCCTAAATTGTCTTACTATCAGGAACAAATTCTAACATGCCGTCCTTGGTTGAGAAAGCAAGCACCTTATAGGCAGTGAATTTGAAGTCGAGATTGACTTATTTTAAAAGGTTATCCATCAAAGTTAGGATTTAAAGAACTAACTGATCTTGTCTCACATCATCACCATGCTTGTACATTACACTGTATAACTTAGGCTAATCTGCTTGCTCCTTCTTTTTAGCACCATCCTCGCCGATTTGATAATGGAAAGACAGTTTCAAAGGGCACATAGCAGATTTGAATACAAAGCACTTCTGTGGCTCAATGCCTCTTACGAATATCTTGGGATCAATAGGCATCTGTCTTGGAGGGTCGAAATGAGTCATATCACGGGCTCCTGACCTTGAGACCTACTTCTTCAAGTTCTCATTTCTTTAATTATGCTTCTCCTTTTTGTTTTCTTTAATGGCAGTAGCTAACTCGTACAGTTGATTTCTGAAATTTATCTATTTCTAGATCTACTCTAAAACTTAAGGGTTCTCAGCGCCGAGTTCTTCTCTGAATTCTCTATACAGTTCTTAAAAGTTAGGCTGCATATCACCGTTTTCTTCGTTTTCAGCTTCAAGCATCACATGCCATTAGAATGAATTGGCAAGTTCCTCATCCTGTATTACTTTACTCAGCAAAAATTTCCTGAGTGGAGATGAATCAAAGTACTCATATCTATAAGCCTAGACGAGTTGCAACATAATTGAATTAATTTAGTCGTATTATTGCTTCTCTAGACATCTCACAGCCACTGTTCTGATCTCGTTAAATCTCTAATACTGATTTGGAAATGAGATTTGAGGTTAATATATTCTATTTGCACAGAACATGAATGAAAGAAGCGGAAGTGCCTATTCAATATCTATTTCTTGCCAGTTCTTTAGTAGTCTCATCCCTTCTTGTTCTTCCTTTTCCTTAGTCCATTCCACACATTATAAGAACTTTACCAAAGCTTTCTTATTTTTAGTGAGCGAGTATCTATAATGCCAGAGTAAGGCTTTCTATTCTACACTAAGATTTGAAAAGTCAGGAAGGTTTATGATTTCATTAATATATTCAGTTTCCTCGGCATTAGGTGTAAGGTCTTTGGCTCCACTTTCATCAATATCTCTAGTTAGAATGTAATATTTCTGGGTAATTGGATTCGATCTCTTCAGGAAATCAGGAGTATTCATCATAATGAGTGGGTCATGAAATTTAACAATGCCGGAGAAAACGTTGTCCTCTCTTTGCTGCTGATTATTATTAGGGTTTTGAATTTGAATAATCTTTTAAAAAATACTGTCACTTGGATTCAGGGTACTTGCAGTATTATTGTATTGCAGCAGCTATGTTGATGGAAAGATATATTGATTTTTGAGAGCATGATTCATGATATCTGAGTATAGAACTGTATAGCCAAACTCAGGGAATGCGATTTCAAGATAGGCATTATTGTTCTCAATATATAGTTCAAACAGCTTGGCATTAATTGCTTCGCGGCTTTATTTGTCAATCCATTCGCGAGGATCTTTATTTAGAGTACTATTCTATATCTTGGAATTTTAGTCTATTTTGCTTAGTAAGGTATTAATTTCTCTTAATGCCTGATTTTCATAAAGTCCAGGAGTCTTTGATTACAGACTTATATCTGCTTTTTAACTTGGCCATAGACCTATGTTAAAGGTACCTTACCTCAGTCTTAGTTTTTCATCAAATAGATCAATAGTAGAGCTTGCTATCAAACTCTCGTTAAATGTTCTCTTCATATCATAGATAGTAATACCAATCAAAGATATTGTCGCTAAGTCGCAATATCTTATCGGAAATATGATTTTCTCACTAATCTCATATGAATTTTAGATTCCTGTGTAAAATTTGGGTTCTAATATCTTGCTATTCAGTGAGAGTTCAATGACGATGAAGTATTAAAAAAATACTTTCATTCCATTTAGTTGCTACTGCATTGGACTGATTGGATCTTATTAAATATCTAGCATGAGATCGCTGGGCTACATTTTTAAGCTTTAGTTTGCACCCTTTTTGGCAGCATTTTGTTATCTTAGAGGAGATTTATCAGTCTGAAGTCTGTTTAATGCATCTTTTTTGCTTATATTGTGGAATTTACAAATCTAGCCTAGTGTATCTTCATTTATTGCATATAATAGATCCTCATGCTCTGATTCTGAAAGCATCTTCAGCACATTATTCATATCTCTAAGTGCTTTAATATCAATGGAAACATTAGACTTAATCTCTCCATGTCTCATGAATACTGATTTATCTGAGGAATTCTTTAAGCCACTCATAAGCGTTGCAGAATAAGACTAACCACCCAGCAGCTACTAATTCCCATAATTAATTCCACCTGAGGACTGGGAATATTGACTTTGAATGTATCCACCCCCTGATTAAGACTTAGCACTGATCTAAGCAGGAGTCTCTTGCTAAGCTATCACGTATTGCATATTATTTATTTTAATCAATTATACTCTTAAATGATTTATAATTTGACTAAATTCAATTCGATCTTTTCTCCAGGGGTTTTGGGGTTTTGGGG